GGGCTTGTGGTTTCGTCCCAGGGCCCAGCACTGCAGCCTGGGACTGGCCACCCGATCCTTGGGCTCAGTTCTTCATCCCAGGACTCCTCACCTCATCCTGGGCTCACGGCCCTAATCCCACGGCGCCTAGTTTCATCCCAGGGTTGGCTGTCTTTGGTCCTGCAGCTCATAGCCTGGTCCCAGGCCTGCCTGCCTCCTCCTGGGGCTCCTCATCTTATCCCAGGGCTCACCACTTCCCCTGCCATCTTGGGATGGGCTGCTTGGTCCTGTGGCTCACTCCTTTGTCCTGGGACTCACAGCCTGGTCCTGGGGCTGGTGGCCTCATCCTGAGGCTTGCAGCATTGTCCTAGGGCTCCCCACCTCATCCTGGGGCTCACCACTTTGTCCAGGGACTGACTACTTGGTCCTGGGGCTCAGTCCTTCATCCCAGGGCTCATGACCTGGCCCTGGGGCTTGTGGCTTCATCCCAGGGCTCCTAATTTTGTCCTGGGGCTCCTGATTTCATCCTGGACTGTCTGGCTGGTCCTGGGACTCACTGCTTGATCCCAGGCCTGTCTGCCTCATCCTGGGACTCCTCACTTCATCTCAGGGCTCACCACTTCATTCTGGGACTGACTACTCATTCTGGGGCTCACGGCCTCGTTCTAGGGCTCCTCACCTTGTCCTGGGGCTCACCGCTTCATCCTGGGACTGGCCACCTGGTCCCAGGGCTCATGGCCCGGGCCTAGGGCTGGCTACCTAGTTCTGGGTCTCCTCATGTCACTCTGGGGCTCGCTACTTCATCCCAGGGCACACCTCCTTATCCCTGCTCCCTTTGACTGCTCGTTTTTCTCTCCGCAGAAAAGCACCGAGGATTTGCCTTCATTGAATTTGAGCTGGCAGAGGTGAGGAAGGGGCAAATACTTGAGCAGTCTGGAATCTCTTCTTCCTTCCGTGGCATTTTAGACCAGATCCTCCTCTGGTTGAAGACAGCAGGAGTTTTGCAGCTGATTTGAGCAGGCACAGGTTGCCTGTCCTAGCTATGGGCCATTCTCCAGTAGCTGCAGTCGAGTTGCTGTTTTGTCTTTCCGAGTTCCCAGTTTTCCCATTGTCTTTTGGGCTGAAGCATGGCCACTTCTGGTCCAAAACACCCGCTTGCTTTCCCTAGAGCTCATTTTGTCTTCAGCAGCAGTGGGTGGGTTTCTCAGCTTGGTTGGAGCATGGGATGTCATGACCTATCGTGGGCTTCATTAGGCAAGATCTCTCGTCTCCTTTCCCAAATATTAGTGTAAACAATCAAGGATCTTACATGAAAAGAAGAGAAAAAATGGCAATAATGATCTTTCCCTCTTTCCCCAGGATGCTGCAGCAGCTATTGACAACATGGTATGGGCTCTGTTCCCATCTGCATGCTGAATGCTGTCTTGGAAAGTGAAATCGCTGCTCCTCTCCTCACAGCGTGGGGCTTCGCCCTCTTCCCAGTAGGAGCAAGGCAGATTGTTTCAGAAATACCTGTCAGCTCGTCTCCTTCCTCCGCATGCCTGATACCGCACCATTCGCAGGAGGGGAAGGAGAGCACAATAACAGCCCCAGAGCTGAGCTGTCCTGGGCAGCCAGTGTTGGGAACGGACACGAGCTGGCGATAACCCCAGCAAAGTTTAGCGGCAGCTCTGGCTGTGTATAACGTCGATGAAGCTGTCTGCAAAAACAGGGCGGGCGCTGCTTCAGGTGTGGCCCCGGGGGGCGAGCGCCGGGGCTTGAGCGCTGCTGTGGACCAGGTCCTTGCCCGCTTTGTTTGCATGTTCGCCGTTGCCTGTGGTCTGGTTGCAAGGTCTGGGGCCCTCAGTCCAAAATCAGGAGGAGGGGGAGAAAGGAAGTTCTGTGTTTCTTTGACCTCTGCAGGGATTTGGAGGGAATAGCGATATTTTACCTTTTGGTGGGCTTTGTTTTGTTTTTTCCTCTACAGAATGAATCTGAGCTCTTCGGCAGGACAATCCGTGTGAACCTGGCCAAACCAATGCGGATTAAAGAAGGATCATCAAGGCCTGGTGAGTCGGTGCTTGCGAGAGGAGCACAGCCCAGTGAACAACTGTCAGCACCTCGCGCTTGCTCCAAAATCGGCCTTTCTTTCTGCTTTCCCAGATCCTGGGGCAGAGACCTCAGCTTGTATTGCTCTGCCTCCCATTTGGGGGTCTCACCAGCATCCTAATAACCAAAAATACCCGATTCCTTGATGAAAACACACTTTGCTGTGCTTCCAGCTGCCTTCATGCTCTCTGACTGTTATTTCCCTGTTGACCTGGGTGGCGTGGGTGGCTGCATGCTTTGTCTTTTGGGGTAGGCTGCTGCCAGCCGAGCGCTCCCGCGTGCGATCCCGCTGCCTGGGCCGTGCTGTGCTCTGACCCCACGCAGCTGCATGCATGCTCACACGTGGCCGTTGGGTTCGGTTCCCATGCTCTGACCCTTCCTTTTGCTGTCGCAGTCTGGTCGGATGACGACTGGCTGAAGAAGTTTTCGGGGAAGACTCTGGAGGAGAACACAGAGGAGGGGGCAGCAGAGGCCCCCAAACCAGAAACACAGGAGGTAGGAAAAATAAATGAGCCAAAGCCACAGGGACTCCTGTGAGCGGAGGAGGGAACAGTAGCTGGAGCTGTCTCTATCCTCCTGCGCTAGTGGGAAGGTTGTCATGGGGTGGGTAAATCATCACTTCACATATCTCTGGGTCCTGTGAGCTGTCAGAAACATGGAGCCAAAAGTGGGTGGCAGCCTTGGGCAGAGCCTGTGTTGCCAAAAATTCATTGAGCCGTGAAGGTACTGCAGTTTTCTGCCTTTTACGCCTGTAGGTGTGACTGGAGCTGGCAGCTGTCCTTAGCCTGTCAGTGTTAGACTGTCGCTGCTCACTTTCTTGGGGGAGTTTTGAAGCCATCTCCTGTGTTTGTGCTGTACTGAAGGCTGAGCGCTTGGGGCCAGCCATCTCTGGAGGGGGAGCACAGAAAAACTTGCTTTTTCCTTTGCCTGCCCAGGGTGAACCTCCTGCTAAGAAATCCCGGGCCAACCCTCAGGTTTACATGGACATCAAGATTGGCAACAAACCTGCTGGGCGGCTCCAGATCCTGCTGCGCTCGGATGTGGTACCCATGACCGTAGGTGAGGAGAGGGTCAGCTTCTCTGGTGTTGTCACTTCAAATGGCGATACGGCGCTCTCACTTCTCTCTCCCGTGCCTCCAAACAGAGAATTTCCGCTGCCTCTGCACCCATGAGAAAGGCTTCGGCTTCAAAGGGAGCAGCTTCCACCGCATCATCCCCCAGTTCATGTGTCAAGCTGGAGACTTCACCAACCACAACGGCACTGGAGGCAAATCCATCTACGGGAAGAAGTTTGACGACGAGAACTTCATTCTGAAACACACAGGTCCAGGTAGGGCCAGCTACGACAGCCAGGAGTGGGCTCCTGCCGATCGGATGAGCTCCTAGTCCCTTGGGTGAATCTCCGACGTTATCTGCAAAAGGGATGTGGCTCCACCAGCATCTCTCTGCTAGTGGGAGGTAGATATAATCTGGAAGGAGAAATGGGCTTTCTTTTGTCATTTATTCAAGCCCCTGCCTCTGAGCGGAGGCTGTCTCGGGGAGCAGTGGTGCTGTGCTAGCGGTGGTGGTGGTTTCTGAGGTGCCTGTGTACCACGGGGAAGCGACGAGTGGATCTTAGAAGTGAGGCCGCCTGTGTATTTAACCAGGAGCACGAAATGGCTCAACACCATCAATGGCAAAATTTGCTCTGTCTTAACCTGGGCTGGGCTGACGCTAAGAGCCCCAAATTGAGATCTGTATTGGCCAAACGCTTCCCCCTCTGTGTAAGCTGTCGTGATTGGATGGTTGTGTATCACCTACATTCAGCAAGCAGAAATGCGTGGTTCTCCTGCTCTCCATAAGCCCTTTTAAATCCCAGTTTTATAATAATGGAGTCAGAGTTTCAAAGCTGCTTTCCTGTTTGATTTTAAGGGAAGAATGTCACAGTAAAAATGTGGACATTAGAAAAGGAGCAAAAAGCAAGCAGGTTTATCTCCCTTACAAACACCTTTTCTGTTACTACAGCTAAAAAAAGATGAACAATCTCTAACACCCTTTCCATTTTTCATGCCTGGAAGTGCTGCTCTCTCTGCATAATCGGTTTCCACCAGTGGCTGTAGAGTTTAATTTTCAGAGACTCTCCTAAAACTGTCAGCATTTTGTGGGGCCTGGAAATGGGTTTTGGTGAGGGGTTTGCATGCTGGAGCTCCTTGCCCCCACGCCAGTGATACCACCAAGCTTTTTCATCGCAGGGCTGTTATCGATGGCAAACTCTGGTCCAAACACCAACGGCTCCCAGTTCTTCATCACATGCGATAAAACAGATTGGCTGGACGGGAAGCACGTGGTGTTCGGCGAGGTGACGGAGGGCATGGATGTGGTGCGGCAGATCGAGGTAGGAGCCGGCAGCGAGAAGGCCAGGGCACTGCCCACCTCGTTTCTGCCCTTCAGCTTCTTACCTTCAATTCCTGTCCCTGTTTTACTCTTTTCTTGAAGGCTCAAGGTACCAAAGATGGGAAACCGAAGCAGAAAGTGATCATCTCAGACTGCGGGGAGTATGCGTGACGTTGGCTGGTGGAGGAGGCTGGATGAGGTGGCTGTCTCCAGCCTGGCCTGGAGGGGCTGGAGAACTATCTGGATCGGGAAGGACCTGTGACCCGCTTCCAAAGCTCAACTCCTGCGATATCCATAGAAATCACCATGCAAAGCTTGGCATGACTGCTCCAGCCTGCATGCGAGGTGGGGGATTACCTCGAGAGGAAAGCAGCCCATCTCAGAAAACATCGCATCTGAGCCTGTGACATCTCCCAAGCCAGGCAGGACCAGTTCAGCTGGTGTGTTTGGTACAGACTTTCTACTTGATGAAAATAAAACCTAGTTTTAAAAATATTGAGAGTCTGACCCTGGCCTTTGACTTCTCACTGGATGGGATTGCTTTCCAGCATCACTACGTTTTGTTACGCTGAGGGTTGTGTTTGTGTTTGCCCTTGTCTTCTCAAATCCTTCCCGAATTGGCACTCCAGCTGTGGCTGCCCAGACTGGGGCAAGAAAAGCAGAGCTGGGTCTCACACAGTACTTTTCCCTCGGAAAAATCATCATCAGGCTCGAGCGTGGTTATTTTTGGCCTCAGGCTCTGTAATGTCTGTTCCCATCAGCAGAGGGAGGCAGGTCCTTGTCCTCGGCCAGCGCTGTCCCGCTGGGGAGTTGAGCCTGGCCTGAACGGAGGGTATTTACTTAGCTCTCTAAGTGAGAGAAGAGGGACTGGAAAAGAAGCACCAGGAAATGAATAAGCTGGGTGATAGACGAATTAAAAAAAAAGAAGAAGAATAAAAGAGCGATGAGGCTGTAGGAAGGGCTGGGAAAAGAAGAGGTTTAGTTTCCGAAGTCTGCTGTCTGGAAGGGGACAGCCACGCGCGCTACCAGGTCCCGTCGGTGGGCAGCTCTGGCTGTACACCATAAAGATGACCACATTGTTGTAAAGTGATTTAGTTGGGGCTTCCTGTGACATTATGGGCCTAGTACGGCTGGGAAGTGGTGCTTGTGGGGAGGCACATCTGTGCAGGGTTTGATTTTTGCCCAGGCATTCCCAGGGCAAGGGGAACTGGGGGGATCAGGGCAGATTTAGGTTTCAGAGGATGTTCCCTAGCGCTTGTGCTATTAGAGTCTGGTGGGGCGCTCAGGTCATTTTTTGCTGGCTCAACTACTGAAAACCAGGGGTAGTGCCTTTTCATGATAAATACTGTGTTGCTTTCATTTACCTGCTTGCTTTCCATGCTGTTTTGGGTCAGTGGGGGGGCACCTGACAACCGGGACAACGTGAGATGTGGATGCTCAAAACTCACCTGAATCAACAGACAGGCCAATCCAGCAC